TTTATTTGACAGGACAGACAAGTGTGAAGGGGGGAGAGAGAGAGGTAGTGACATGCAGCAAAGGGCCATAGGCTGGAGTCGAACCCGGGCCCCTGTGGCAACAGCCTTGTACATGGAGTGCCTGCTCTACCACTAAGCCACCGATGCCCCAGGTGTAAGTTTTATCATGTTCACAATCTTGGTTTAGTCTGTTAGCATGCTGTCATTTTCCAATTAGCACTAAATACAAAGTGCAGACAAAGTATAGATTAAAGCACTGAAGGCAAACCTCTTATTTGCCATTTCATGGCAATCCATTTGATAGTGTTTTTAAATTTTCAGTCTGAATGGAAGGATTTTAACCAAATAGGGTGCTAGATGAAAAGGAGGATTACTGAGGTCACTAGGATTCATTGTCTGAGAACCACAAATTTCTTTGCCAAATTTTGTGCCAATACATTCTGTAGATGTTGAGATAATTCATTAAACAAGTTGACTCACTGGCTGACAAGTGAGGGGATTGTCAAAGTCATGAGGACTGGGGACCCAATTTAAGCATGTTGTATGTATTTTCCATCATGGCAAAAAATGGGATGGCACAAATAGGTATTTTATTTCAATTAAATAATCTAAAAACATTTGTGTTTATAGAGGACATGAAGAGCGCCAGAGCAAAATAACTGTGGTAACTGCAAAGTTTGACTGGCAAAATATATGGCCTCATAGTTCTCTAAAACTAAGAAATGAAATAATGGTAATATTCTTTTTTCAGATATAGAAGAATATCTTGTGTTCTATCAAATCCATCCAACAATCTGTCAGGGCCATCCTCCGGATCAGACATTTCCTAAGACATTTATTAAAATCAATCTGCCTATTGAATAACTGATGACATTAGTGTGGGTTACTTCCTCTCAGACACAAACAAACACTGAGATTCCTTTCTCACAATCTTACGCCTGACTATGCTGCTGTGACCTCTGACAGTCATAAGACTGAGCACGGTTGCTTTGGTTTGTCTGGTAGACGTACAGAGGTTCACGTACAGCACAGAGAGAATCTCCTCCTCCCTTCTGTGTTTGCTATTTCTCTTTTCTTGTTCACATAAAAGCAAATGATCCTCCTGCCAAACACTTTCACATCTCCTGGCTTAATTTTCTGTTTACATTAAACACTGAATCTGACGTTAAACTCTAATCCCTTCCTAGACTTCAAAGCTCAGACATTAAGAGAGCATGGGGCATGCCCAGTTAAACTTTGACAGAAGGGGGTGGGAAGCCGCATAATCCACTGATCTGTGAGGTAATATATCATGGGACCAAGAGGGTCTAGCTCGCATGGCTACAGGGGTCACCAACAAATTCTTTGCAAACGCTAGCATATAAAAAGGTGGAAATGTGTTGCTAAAGGACAGACTTGTCACATTTGAGTAACAGAATACAAAGCACAAATAGCATTGATTTCCAGTGCACTTAGCAATAGTGGTTACTGCACATAGAGCCTTGCCAGGAGCCTGGTTCACTGGCTCCAAAGAAAACAGCATCATCTGACATTCACAGCCGCATCATTTGCTAGAGTTCCCGCTGTTTGAAGCCATGTGCAGATAATGTGTTTCAGCTATGACTACACATGTGTTCCTGTTCATCCAGCTTTGGGCTAATTCCACACTGTACGCTAGCAGAATGCCTCTGCCGCAGGATTTAATGCAGTCAAGCATCAAGTAGCTCCAACAACTTGCCAGGAGTTTTGTCAGCCAGTCTGTAACACACTGTATTGTGAGAACTCATTTCTGGTGCAAAGCTGCTTAGCAGAGATTTGTCTATACAGTTTCACATTCTCTGCATCTACAGTGATCCGTGTGTGTGTGTGTGTGTGTGTGTGTGTGTGTGTGTGTGTGTGTGTGTGTGTTTGTGTGTGTGCGCTTAAGTTATTCACTGTCCATCTGTTATCGCAGCCCTATTACACAGCAATCCAACTCCAGAGCCCCCTGAAAACTACTGCACACTCCCTCTAATGAACTGGGCAGAGATCCTCAGTCAGTGAGCAACATCACAGATACAAAATACTTTCAGACCCAAACCATTTATTAGCTTTGAATTCATCAAACACTCTGACAGCATCCACTAGCCAGAGCAACAGCAAAGAGATCCATGCAGGCTAAAATTATTCCATCTACAACCTCAAGCAAGACACTGCTAAAAGGCAGAAGCAAAGGAGCTAATCCCTCCATGCTGTAAGACCTATTTCCACAAGCTATTATCACAACAATTAACAGCAGTTGATGGGAGCATGGAGAGAGTGTGTGGAGGAGGAATAATTTGAAGCAGCCATTTAATTAAGTCTGAAACTGCTCCCAGTACTGTCATCAAACAGGAGGCCTTGCTGGGTGACATTTCCTACCAGTCAATCCGAGGAGCCAGCTGGGAGCTGTGGGGCTGGTGGAGAAAATGACTGGGTGAAGATGCTCGGAGAAGGGAGGATGGGTTACATGCCGTGGAATTGTCTTCCATGCTGACATCTTTTGTCTTTTGTCTTGTCAGAATAATCTGGAAATGTATAACTAGCAGCCAACATAAACTACTTACAGCTATGCTAGTAAGACACTATTACTGTGTGTATTAGACCCAGTGAGAGCCATTATCTTGTACTGTGGCCCTTCTGTTTGCCATACATCAACAATACATCAACATCCTCCTGGGACCCAGAAGAAAAAAGTTTTGATATCAAGATTTGTTTTATGTAATTTAAGTATTAGACTTGAAAGAAACATTTTGCATCAAAAAAAAAAAATTCAAAAATATTATTTATTTATTTTTTTATCACATGTCCTCTGTAGAGGACATCGGGACTTAGTCGGGTCTTAAATTTCCAGAGTTAGTCAATGAGTTTCAATTGAGTTACAATGGGACTATAGGGTATTTTATGCTTTATCTCTAAATATATGAGCTACAAAGGACTTTTACTCCCCTGGAATTATTATTTGGCTGTCTTCAATGCTTTATACTATGATTGATAGCTGTAGCAAGGTAGAGTGTATTCTTAATAGCTATACCAATGGGCCTGACGTTGCAGTCAGGGTGCAGGATTGGTACCCTGTACCACTGGGTTTAAGGGCCTAGTGGTCCAACTGCACTCACCCCTCACTATCTATGATGTGATAAGGTGTAATGCTTGCTATGTAGTCATTTAACACTCGCCCAGGCAATAAGAAGTGATGTGGAGCCCCATAGTTTGACCCATGACCCCTATGTGACAGACCCCAAAGACCAGGTAAACTTTATTGTATGTGGTGGCCTAAGAAGGGTAAAGAACAGTGGAGTGAAGCTTTATAGATACTATTGTATGTGTGAATACACTCTCAGCAAGAATTGTTATTGTTTAAAGGAAATAGAGCAAGAAGTTTCTCGAAATCCTTCTTTTAGGTAGTATCCTACCATACATTCCCATGCACCATAGATGCATGGGAATGTACATTCACCTAAAGTGTTCTTATTTTCCAATAAACCTCCAAATTCTTGCATACACATTACTTCAGAGTCTCACTCCAAGCCAAATTTCTGCTTTCACACTGACTAACCTTTAAAATGTATCAGAAATTATGAGAAAAAAACGTCATTCCCCTTAATGGCCTCCTGCCTGCTGAATCATGGAAACTGGTTAAAAGACGGGGTACTAAGTCCTGATGTCCTCTACAGAGGACATTGAATAAGAGGTGTATTTTGAAAAGGTTAAAATTACTCTGGATTTCTGAAATCTCTCTAAATTAAAGTTAAGACCCTTATATTAACCCTTACCCTTAAATATTAACAAAATAATCATAACTTTTGCCAGAAAATGATCAATTACCACTCTGGCAGCAAAAAACGAGAAAAACATTTTTTAAAAATAATCATCAGTAATGTGGACATAATGACTAATTGAGTAAGGGCAAATAACAGAACAGCTAGAACATTTTCAAGTTCACAAAAGTAACTTCACTGTAATGCATTCACACACTGGTGACCAAGGCTACCATAAAGGTGCCACCTGCTACCCAGATTTTAACACACTCACACACCGATGGAAGCATCATCAGGAGCAATTTGGGGTTCAGTATCTTGCTCAAGGATACTTCGACATGCAGACTGGAAGGGCCAGGGATCAAACTGCTGATCTTCCAATTGGTGGACAACCTGCTCTACCTCTGAGCCACAGCTGCCCAAAGGTAAATGGTAATGGGCCTTCAAATAAACAACATCCCTGCGGGACTCTACTTGGCTTATACCCCATCCTCTGGTCATTGGTTCATGACATCAAAATGTGATGACAGATGATGTAAATGCATTGGAGACTGTCTAGTGTTTGTTTTGCTGTTCTGGAGGTATTTTCTATTCAATGTTAAGCCTAAGGCTTGCACCGGAACCAACTGCCTACTGGGAAAAAAATACATTTGAACTTGTTTAATTTATTAAAGGTATTAGTTTAAGCAGCAGGAGACCCACAGCAGCTGCATCGAGAGTATGAGGATTAACACACCACACACCCATGACTTATGACAGTTTCAACCAAAGCACTATCTGACACTGGTTTCACTTGAAATAATCCTGCAGAGTGCCCACTCTAATCTTAATGTTATCTCGGTTGTTGTGGCTGGCTGCCCTCTTTTACGGTAACTAGCTAATGTAACCAACTGTGGAGGGTAAATATTTAAAAAGGAAATAATGCTGATATTGTGGTTAAGTCTGCCATTACTCTGTACCCCTGTGCAACCATGTTTCCTTTCATAAATATCTTGTTAATTGACCGACTGGTTCCTTTCCAGAAACACTGGAGGTTCCCAGCCTGTGAGTTTTTCATTCCAAACAAGGTTTCAAAACTAGTTTTTAAACATGCGTGTGTATTTATCTTTTTACCACCCAGCAACAGGGTTGCACGTCAAAAACATGAGGTAAACATTGCTAAATCATAGTGAGCAAAATAAAAATTGCCTCTGTAAACATGTGATGATGAAATACAATAAGAACAACAGTGGAGTTACTCACCTCTGTTGTTGTGCAAGGGCTGTATTTACCTGCAGGAAAACAAGAAAGCAGTGTTTTGAAAAACAGCAGTTGTAAGCATATAAGCATAAAGCAGCTTATGTACACATGCATGGTTACATAGGTAACACTGTTCAGTTACAGTACTGAAATGTTGTATGTTTGACTTAAAGGGGTTAAGCATGTGATGGTGATCTTAGCCACTAACGTCAAAGTCATGCATTTCTTTTGATTCTGTGTCTGAATATCATATAAATATCATGTGGGATGTACATTGTCTCAGGATCCGGGCAGTCATTTTCATTTATGCATCAACCTACTCTGTACAGCTGCTAACTCAGAAGTAGGGACTGAGCAGCTGAGATGACTAATTTCAGATGTCATACATTATTTGTCACTGATGGGAAAATCTCAGGCCACAGGAGACTGTAAATCACCACAAACACGAAGGGGTGAGAACTCCAGTTTCATCAAGATAAATCTAGCTTCAACAATCTACAGCACAAAGATTTTTTTTCATGCTTTTACTCTAAAACCAAAACTAATCAGGAACAAAACATGTCCACAAATGATAACATGCAACTCTCAGGCTCATATTGAAGCCTCAAAGGATAAGGCCAGTCTTTTTATAACCCACAAATCCTGTGAAAAGACAAAAACAAACAATACCTTACTCCACATCATACTGTCCAGCTATTGTACGCTGTTTGTAGGACTCAGCCCTAAGTCTATTCCTTCCTACTGAAGGTAGGAACTTGGTATGAATTCAACCTAAAAGTAGTTGCTTGACTAATTATTGATCTACTTGTTTAATGCCATTTTTTAGACGTGTCACAACCCTGATTCACACTGTTACAATTAGGACTCACATGCACTTCATCTGTACCATCAGTGTCCACTTTCTGTTTAATTTCTCACAACTTGTGCTCTCTATTGAAAAACTTTAAGTCCTGGGTCTATGGCAGGGGTCCGCCAAATTATTGTGTGACCATTTCATCAAAGTTTTCATTTAATTTATGTTTAGGTTTTTCAAAACATATTTTTTGCTAAGAATAAATCAGCCTATTCATAATTTACAATACCGGCATTACTGATAGGCTAACTGTTATCCATGAATCATTGTGCAATCATGTGAGCTAGCTAGTGCTAAATTACTGTGCATCACTTATCCATGATGGCAAGGTGAGCTAGTTAGCTAACATTTACATACTAGTGAAACATATTGGTAATTAGCTGTGTCATTATTCCAAGTGTACGGACATTCTTGGGATTGTTCTATAACTTTTTGAGCAACATATTCTGACACACCGTCTACCTCAGAAACCAACAGCAAAAGTGCTGAGGGTGAGGCTAATGCACCTAGCTATGCAACATCTGCTGCTGCTACAGGGAAGCACAAACGAGAGGAGACCATAATATATATATATATATATATATATATTCTGGGAATTCTCTTAAGCACAACTCAATTTTATACACTGTATAGAGTAGGGGGTCCCTGCTCCGTCTCTCTTTGAGCTAAAGGGTCCTTGGCCTAAAAAACGTTGACGTACCCTACTTTAAGGGGTTCCCCATAGCAGACACATGTAAGGTCCTTTGCACAAAAATATTACATATGTGGGTAAAAATATAAAAGTTACAATTACATTGTTACATTTCTAAAATGCGCTCAGTAATTTTCTAAAACAGCTGGGCACTGTAAGTTATAGCAAATGCTACTCAAGCAGGAGTAAACTGTGCATTTGTTAGGGACTATTTTTATCTGAGGATTAATACATGTTTAAAGTGCCCCTGAGCATTTCCAAAAAGCAGGATGGTGAATGTGGGATTGACTCAAAATAAAGTGTGTGCGTTCATGGTGATGAAAGAACATGTAACCCAGTGCAGTGGTGTGGCTCACTGTGATGCATTCTGATAATAGTTTTGGGAACAATGTTGGATCAATTCATAGTTGGTTTTCTTAATTAAATCAAATTGACTAGAGGAATAATACACCATAGCATTATCCTTTAAGCCTAGAGCAGGTTTAAGGGAAAACCTGCTATATCATGGAATTTTAAATGTAGGGATTATATTTTGCTATCCCACACTTTGCTCCGTGGTCTTACCCTTGTAGCTTAGTTATCAGTGATTACATTTTCTCTTCCTTATTAAACCAATTTCAGTGAAAGTGCTCTGTGCTCTCATTATGCAAACCAGCTTTAATAAAAGCTCTGTTTCATTCTAATTACCTTGGTGGTTTAAGTAGCATGTGACAAGATGACAAGAGGCACTGTTGCATGAATGTACTCCCTTCAAGAAGAAGACCCACTTAAATGTATCTCCGGGCTACAGCTGCCCAGCTTTTACTTCATGAACAAACAGCCTGCTAACAGATGACCCTCTTAACAAATGGCTGTTTTGTATTGTAACACGCAGTAATGCAACGTCACAACAGTTCTGACATCATTTCATGACCCTAACTTGCATCAGCAGGTTTGAACGCAACACTGCTGTAAAGTGAAGGAGAGTCACCAGTGTGATGTGTGTGTCTGCAGATAATCGATTGAGCTTTCTTAATGCCATAACAGTATGAAAATAGATCTATTCATCAAAGTCTAGGCATGATACAAAGAAATTTACAGTGTGTGTCCTGCTTTCACAGTGTGTATGGATATAATGCAACGTGTCAGGTGCCCCAGATAAACTGCAGAGGGGAAGAATACAAGGAGGACTTGGTTTTGAGTGACAACCGGGTCTAAAACTAACCCTGTCTGGATTCAACTTCAGGTCAATTTAGCAAGTTGAGAGCTTTAGAGGTCCCTAAAATCCCTAAAACCTTTGCCACATATTTATCTCATTATTTACATAAATGACTTTGTCGGCTTGGGCTTGTGAATCTGAGAGAGAGAGCCTGCGCTGAACAGCACAGATAAGTGGCAATTAGACCAGAAAATTATCCTGCAAACTGAAACCATTTGTGTGGTTGCACTGATCAAAACACTCCCAAATTACTTAGACCTAAGAAAGATGTACTTATGAAGCTGTCGCGGGGTTTGCATAAAGATTGTGAGGCAAGTAATACGAAACAATAGAAATGACATTTAAAAAATATATCCAAATATTGATATTGGCGTCAATCAATGAAAATAGTCATTTAAAATCAAATATCACAATATTTTTGACCAAATACCTCAACTGATGATATTAATATTGTGATGATATTGTAAGGTTGACTACTGGTGCTTTCACGAAATAAATAATCCCCAATAATGTGGATATAATGACTAAGGCCCTGTGTTCACATTACATTTTTTTTTCTGAGTGCCAACGTCTTCTTTCATTTGTTCCCAGTGAGAGTTTATGCAGTCACCTCCAGAAAAGGTGCTGCAACAAGCATCTTTTTTCAGAGCATTCCGCCTTTTCTGCGGCAACCATGAGCGCTTCTAGTTGAAAATCTCTGAACTTTTCAGAAAGACACTTGTGATGTCTCTGTCGCTCCTTTTCAGGCAACCAATCATATGGCAGTGTCTATCCAAGCTGTTTGACATGTTGGACAAAAACAATCATAACACAGAAAAGCTAATTTGTGGGGGCAGATTGGCATTCAACACTGAATATTGCTGGTGAGTGTTATGATTTTATAACTGTACTGATACAGTGATATCTTGTACAATCTTATTAGGTGTGTAGTAAACCCTCTGTTAACATAGTGTCATCAAAAAAGATGCTGAATTGCTGGGATGAAGCACACCCCAGCGCCTTGCCACCACTTTTCTGCCAAAGAGAAACACTATGTTGGCACAGGCCCTAAGTCAGTAAAAGCAAATAATGTATTGCAATATTTTGCATGGCACACATCAATTTGTTTTCATATATACATAATCAGTATTGCAGATACAAATTAAACTTTTGGTAGCCTAATACAAAACTAAAATCAGCTGCTTTTTCAGACCACTATTATGTGACAAAGTGTTCCTTTACAATGTATGCTATTGCAAAACGCAGCATATAGCTAAATGTTTAAAATCGCAATAATATTGTATCCTAACTTATAATATCATATCTTGGTGCATCTAGTGATTCCAACTCCTACTTCGCTGTAATGCATCCTTTAAAAACAAGAGAAGACAACATTTATGATATTACTATATCCAATCTAGTCTCATATCATTATATCGATACAATATCGATATATTGTCAAGTCCAACCTAACATTGATGGATACGTGTTTAAAATACAGTCTACAGTGTATAGGATGATGGGTCTCACCTTATCTGTGTGGTTCATGTAAAGACTGAGTGTGTATAATATTTTGCACATTTGGTGTAGGATGTAAAGGACACGGTGAGATGTTCATTTGTGAAATAGCCACATGAAGCAATATTAACAAAAATATAACATAGTGGGAATGCAAATGCCAAAACACAAGCTTAACTACAACCATTCAACACATTCCCATACATTTCGACATGACATTACATGAGCAACCGAGGAATAAAAGCCTGGACTCCCCTCTCCAATGGTTGCTTCCATGCTCCTAAAAATAGCCCATTCATTCTAAGCATATAGACCTACAGGCCAAAACCAGCATCATCATCACAGCTGTGCCTCTCAGATTCCCTCATAAAAGTTGATTAGACAAAAGTATGTGGTGGATTGATTAAATCAAGGGCCAAAATGTTGACTGAGCAGTGCTCGGTATCGTGTGTGTGTGTGTAGCTGAGTTAAGAGCACATCCCTCCGGCCCTCAGGTATAATCCATTACAGACAGATACAGATAGATGGGCATTTAGTCAGTCTGCTCTGCACTCTGTGTATCAGCAGATGTGATCACAGCAGACACTGAACATGCAAGGCCTCGGTCTGACAAGACCCTGGAATGTGTTTGGTTTAGAGCATGTTATCGTTCATAGACACACCCATCGACTGTAGCAACACACACATCACATGGCAGGCAGTGTTTTCTGTTTTGTTCTGAATCCTGGTTGTTAAAAAGATCTGTAGTAACTGGGATACAGGACAAATACCACAGAAACACTTTAACTCTCCCATATGAGACACAAATCACCATAAAGTACAATAATGTCACTATAAATGCCCTGTACAGCCCCACAGACACCGTGTAAATCCCTAAAGGGATGTTTCCAGAATATTGCAGTGTTTTTTCATTTTGCACACTATATGCTGCCACTACTGCCTCCTCTCACTTTCTTGGATATTTTCAGCTTGGCAATAGAAACACTGCCATACCAGCAGGGCTTTAACTCTTCTTTTTTATCGCACCTCTTTAATTTCATCTGTAATCAACAGAAGCTCCCATGCCGCAGATAGTTAGGATCAGCTACATCAGGCCATAAAGTTAGGCAGGGGTGTAGGTTTTGTTTCAGCATTGGGGGTTTGGGGGTCCTCCGCCAGAGACATTAAACACCTGCATTCTGGTGAACTATGCACCAATTTGTGTCTTTATGGTGTAAATGTCGTTAATGTGGTCAAAATACAAGTCTTAATCTGTTACTTTCATGTTTTTATTGGAGGGGACAAGTGCACATGTTTAAAATATTTAGGGGGACATGTCCTCTGTGTCACCCCAGAAATCTACACCAATGAAGAAAGGCATGTGCAGGGGTGAACCATCACCTTTTCTGTTTACACACACACACAGGCATGGACCCACACCTTGATCCTATCATGCACATTTCAGCTTGTAATCACATGCTTTAATCAGATGAAGCAGAACGACCACACTGATCTGATATGAGGTGGCAAACAGTCTGAGAGGCTTTAACCATGAGATGGGACCACATGATGCACATGCACACACGCACACGTGCTTTCAGTGAGGAGGGATAGTGAAAATCAGTGAAAGCACTATAGCCATGAAAGTGAGAGCAGCAGGGGTCTCTTTGTTTAGCAGTGACAGGGGTCATGTGTTGTGGAGCCTGGTTGTTGTTGTTCTGCTGCAGATTAAAAACTAATCCTGAGATACAAATAAAGCACCTGATCAGGAAAAACATGTAGAAAGCCTCCACACGTGCAGATGGAAATATGTGTGGGCCTACACATTTTATTTATAGTGACATTATTGCTCTGTGATGCCACTTTACAGTGCTATTACATTCCTATATGGGAATATCGGTTACACAAGTGTCTCTGCAAGGTATGTGCCATCTTATTTATTTAAGTCTTTACATAAGGACAATCACAACACCTCAGCTCCATTATTTGAAACGCAAGTGATGGCATGGCCTAGATCGGAGCAGCTTTAGGCGCACTCAGTCTTACATAATATTTTACCTTTACAGCTCTGGTGTTCCACCCTCACAGACCCGTCTTTCTGTATCCTAACATCCCCCGGTCCGGATATCCTCCTCAGAGCCGCCGCTGATGATGCTCCGGCGGCGGCGGAGCAGCTTCTCCTCCGGTGTGCCTTCGCCAGCGTCCTGCAGCACTGATAACACACCGCCCAAGCCTGCTCCTCATTGATGGGCTGGCCATAAAGCCTCAGTATCTCATCCAAAGAGAGACCCTCCAGTCCTGCTTCCTCCGTGGGATTCATCGTGTTGTGATGCTGCTGCTCATCTCGGTGTGTCGCTGCAGCAGCATCATCCGTCAGCCCTCCGTGGTCCCCGCATCGCTGCTCGGCCATCCTTTCATTATCTCAGCGCAGGAGGCCGGAGGAGGAGAACAGGTCCAGGTCGATATGTGAGAGGCAACCTGGAGGCATTGATGCTTCCCCTTCTGCTCCCCGGGGCAGCAGCGACAGTCAGCAACGTACCGGTGCTTGTTTCCCCGCCCGCGCGACGCGTCGTTCAGGTTTCGGGAGCAGCAGTCATGAGACGGTGTGTGTGTGAGGTTTGTGTGAACGTAGCCTTTACCGTGTGTGTGTGTGTCTCACAGTCAGGCTCACTCCTTCATCACATGATCGCTCTCTCTCTCTCTCCTGTCTCTCTCTCTCTCTCTCCCACACACACACACACACACACACACACACACACACACGAAATGTCCTTGTATCTATTTCCTGGCTTTTGGATTTATTAAATCACTGTTGGTGCAACATGATCTTTTCTTCTTTCTTTTGAAAATTCAGTGTGGTTCATTCAGATAGCCTACAGTTCACTCCACCACATTGGAGTCAAAGTTAGATTACCAAACAGGCTATTCCCTGAGTCCCAGGGGCCCAAAAGCCTAAAATTCACTGTCAGTTTGTCAGTGGTTTGATTCATTATACATTTTATAAAGGAATTTGCACCACCAAATTATAATATCAGCTAGTTTACATCGTTCCCATGGTGCATATTCCTAAATAAATGAACTTTTAATTAAATTATCACAAACTAATTGGTGCACATAAAACGTGGATTCATGTTGTAATATCAGAGTGGGCCTCCTGGGTGGTTTCTGGGTCTCTGTCTGCACTGTGTGATGGGAACTTGACAGTAAAACTGTAATAGGGTACAAAGCAAGGGTGTCAAACATACTGCCTGTGGCCCAGAACTGGCCCACAAAAGGGTCAAAATTTGCACACCTAATATTGATGCACTGAAGGGTAAGAGGTGCCAGTGAGTAGCATACATTATTTAAAATGCTGCTTCAGAGGATTTTTCACCCTGATCAGAATACAGTTTTTTAAAAGAACAAATAATACATACTGTGGTCATGTTTAAAGATATATTATAGAGATATTATCCACTTAAATTTGATGTGGTGATGGCAGCATTACTACTCCAAATGTGCAGTAAAATGCACATGTAATGACAGGCAGCAGTCGACTGACTGAATGTGGGAAAACTGAGACATTTTGTTGAAATTGCCCTCATTTTTCTTGAGACATCTCCAGCTGTTCATCATCTGTTTTGTAAATGGATGAACATTTTCAGAATGTGCTTTTTTTATGCTCAAAGAAATTGACAATTTAGAGGTGTTGTTACCTAAAGGTTATTATGCAGTGGTTTTACTGAGATCAAATTGGGCTGTATGGCCCATAAACTAAAATGAGTTGACACCCCATAAATAATGTGCAGAGTCCTCTTTTAGAAGAAATTTGTCTCTAGACAACGATGAAGTCACCATAAACATAGCCACAAGGAACAGTCACAAGAACATGAGTCCACTGGGTGTTATTGCTGCAGGTTATTGAGGGCAGTGATGGCAGGGGACACGAAGCTCTTACGGAAGCATGCTTTTTTTACAAATCGGAGATCTGAATCTGCGGCCAGATGGGAGTAGAGTAGAGCATGAGTTCAGGGAGTGGCTGGGGCTGTGTGCTATGGTGAGTGCTTTGCATGTGATTGCAGTATCAATGAGGGCTGGGAGGGTGGGAGTAGGGAGACCAGTGATTTTAGAGGCATTTGGTGCTTCTCAAACTCAAGAGAGGATCCTTAGAAGGCTGAATTTCAAGGGGGCTACATCATCAAATCCCACTGAAGGACTATTCCAATGTCAAGGATACTTCCAATTCTACTGAAGACAGAGTCCTTCCCTCAGAGAATTTTCAAGGATGTGTGTGTGTATCCTCAGTGGGCATGAAGTACCCACAATTCTCTTTGCATGATTTACTGGAACTGAAGGCAGGGCCTCTTCAATGACACACACCTGGGCACTCACTAGCGTGTTTCAATGTGTGTTCACCGAATACAAGAAAGGAGTCTTGCTTACTCTGGAAGGACCCATCCTAAGGAAGCATCCCTGACTTTGGGAAGCATTGACTGTGCATCCCAACACACAAGATCTGTTTGCCATGGGTACGGTGATAGCATCGCCAGTATGTAAACACAAATCTCTGAACATCGATACACAAGCTATCAATACACACCAGCAATGGAATGACAGTAAATATACAACTTTCCAAAATGATTTGTTAATCCACTTCACATCAAAAAAAGCTAATTATCTGTGTGGCTTGAGAAGAAAAACAAACTGTAAACAAAAACAATAATTAAAAGTCTTTTTTTTTTTGTTCCTTGCTTGTAAAAGTGGGAGAAGCTTGCTGACGAGCCTTTTCACCACAAGGAATGAACATGCAGCATTGTGTGCAATTTTGAGGAGTGTGTTCCTGTTGGTGACAGTGAGCACAGTGAGCATGCGAAGGATGGGTTCTATGATGCTCCTGTACAGGTGGAGCAGAAAGTGAGGTGAAACTGAGTGCGCCCTGATTTTCCAGATGGCGGAGAGCCTCTGACGGCAGCGTTTGTTGATGCTGTTAGTGTGATGATCAAAACTGAGTTTACTGTCAAAGGCAATCTCAAGATACTTGAAGCTCTCCACCATCTCAACTGGCTCACTGTTGATAAACATGTGGGTTCATTGCAGCAGTTCTTCTTCTTGGTCTAAGTCTTAAGTCCTTTAATTAGGGCAGTCTAAGCCTGCTTGATTGGTGTTGATAAATTCAGATTGATGACATGACATAATTTTCCATCGCAGAGCGTTTCATCTTTAGCCTGAACAGTAGGCTAGCACCTTAGTGGCACCTATTGTTGCAGGAACTACCAAAGTAGTTGAGTATTTATGCATAGACTTATAATAATGGACAGAGCCACCGTGACGTCACCCATTGGTTTGTGGATTGCCGTTTTGAAACGTCAAGTTTAGCATCTTGTTTTGGCCATGTTGTTTTTTGGAGCCAGAGGTGACCATATTTGGATGTGAGGGTGAAGCCCATAGATTCATGGGTGAAGCTGTGGAGGAGCAAGGGGTGGACCCAAGATAACATCACAACCCTTCAAGATGTAGCTGAGATATAAATGAAGGCTGTGTTTGAAGATGGGTGTGGTCTGAGTAAGGGGGGCAGAAGTAGAAGGGGTAAGAAGTAGGGAAAGGGCCATTAGCCACCCCTTCACTTTATGCCCGTGGATGACATACACTTTGAGTGGCAGATCGCTGTATCGCGATTGGACTGATCCCATTGCAAGATAGTGTCTTATCAGATTTTACTCACAAAACCAATTAGTTTGAAAATATGATGCACTGTTGGAGATTAAATTTCCCAACAGTATGTGAAGCCATTAAAAGTAGCTCTACCTCAGCCAACCACAAGATAAAAGGACCACTTACATGTTAATGCATCAATAATAATGAATGAATATAATAATAGCATTGGCAGGGACACTTTGCACGAGTACTTATACTTTTGATACTTTAAGTAAGATTTTGTTACTAAAGGCATGCAACAAAACCCTTCCAACAAATCCAAATATCATGTAGGGACACAGTGTGTATTTGATGCCCTCTGCTGGTGGTATCTCCAGCTGTCCTCCATGTTGAAACTAAAGGATTTGCTTGCAGCTGAGTGGTTTCCAAATGATTTCTCCTTTAAGAGGAACTGTCCTTAAAGTTGCCTGCAGCTCTGCATATGATCATGAGTCATCACAAAGCTTCACAGAGGATGTCTCTCCTTACGACACAGAGATATAGCCAACATGTCTCTTTCATTTCCCACACATTCACATCACCATATCACACCCGCAACACTGAGTTCTGTTCAATCACAATAAAATCTGAGAATTATATACATGCTCATTTATTCAGCAGTTGACAAATTCACGTGTTTGATATGATTTATTCATCAATCATATTAATTCAATCAATGGCTTACACAATACTCTGATACAGATCTTATTTGACAGCAAATATACACAACATGAGACAACAACACACACTCATATCACATCTTTGTTGCACAGTGTCTGCAAGGGTGACCCTGCAGTCTCAGAAACACACACAAGATCTGTTTGCCATGGGTACGGTGATAGCATCGCCAGTATGTAAACACAAATCTCTGAACATCGATACACAAGCTATCAATACACACCAGCAATGGAATGACAGTAAATATACAACTTTCCAAAATGATTTGTTAATCCACTTCACGTCAAAAAAAGCTAATTATCTGTGTGGCTTGAGAAGAAAAACAAACTGTAAACAAAAACAATAATTAAAAGTCTTTTTTTTTTGTTCCTTGCTTGTAAAAGTGGGAGAAGCTTGCTGACGAGCCTTTTCACCACAAGGAATGAACATGCAGCGTTGTCGTTCAAGCAGCTGATTGGGAGATGGGACGGTGAGGAGACACACAGCGGGGGAGGTGGGGGGGAGGAGGAGGAGGTTTGCACCAGCAAAGGTCCAACTTAATCAGTACTCAAGATAAAGACAATAAGTGTTAAACTTTAAAGTCCAACAGGTTGCAATCAATCTTGTAGTAGACGTAAGGATAATACTCCTGCTGGCTCAGGTTTAGACCCGGGATGTCCATCGCAGACTGAAAAAAGAAGAGAGTGCAGACTGTTAATGCGTGTAAGCAGCCGTTTCGAATACTGAGAAAAGAGCCCCTCCTATAAAAGTTAAAGGAGAAGGCCTGGAGAAAAACACATTTCATGCTTAGCTAAAAAAAATTCCTGCCTTTAAATCCCAGGCATCCCCACATAAACTTCAAACTTCAAAACTTAAACTTGGGTGTTTTTTCTGCCAAAAATCAGTTTCAGCGAAGTTTCTTATTAGTAAAACTTATTCACACAAAATTATTAAAAGACTTGAATATGAATAAATATAGCTTTATATCTAAAACCACTTTAGTTGTGGAGTTTTTTTTGCAGTTACCAGCTTTGGCCATGAGAAGGAGCACCTGTTATTCTGTGGTACAGTGATGGATGGGAAGCAGAGACTGATACTACTGTACATACTGATTCTGTATAGTAAGTGCTGCATGCTAATTCTCATAGTATAAACAAATTAGCATACTTTACCATCTTATACTAACAGGAAAGTATTAAATTAATGACATTTCAGATGTCAATTAAACTGCCTTCACACTCAAAAATTATATTTAGCATTGATAAAATCTGGTTTGTATATACTTTGTTTTGTCACTTTGCAAGTCTGAACACACTACGGACTCAAAACCGGCTTACAGTAATGTTCTCTTTAGCAACACAGTACAATGTCACAGTTATATTTAAAATAATTGCAAAGAATTGTATTAAAATGTGTCTTTCACATATCTCAAGAACCATTCATCCCATCTACTTCACACTTGCCGGGTGTATTGCTGAGGACTTGCTTTGGGCACGCAACACATTTAATATTAATAAACTTTGAATAAACAAGCAACCAGCGCTCTCAGTGGCAAAGCTTCAGGGATCTGCAAACTGGGTCAAGCACATCTGCTAAGTGTACTTCACAGTGTTTGTGACCTCAAGTGGACTCGACTTGGGTGTTTTTCAGGAGTGAATATAGTGTAGTAGTACACTGTTGTCTTCTAAAGTAGAATTACACAGTAAGTAAGTAGTACACAGTTGAGTTGCACATATTTTTTCAGAACTCTGTTCCTTAAAATAGTAACATAAGTCCTAAGACCTATTCCAATATTTTTCATTATTGAAACATCATAATACATGTCTAACTGTTTGAGGTCCAGGTGTATTGCTCAGGACCCAAGGGAGCACAGTGTTGAGGGTGAAGTTGTTTGAATGAGTGGTTCTCGAAAAAGCTGCAATACCACAGGTCAAGGAATCTGCCTATCTGAAAAAGCATGTTTTGAGCTGGCACTGCACTAGTTTAAACATAAAGAAGCAAAGATACTTTGTGATATTATTCTTTTAGGTCCTGGATGTACTATATGTTACAATATGTTGTACTGTATTAAGTTATGCATTAAAAACTTACTTAGATCATATTTTACATCGTAACTTCTGCCATGATGATCATATTATTAAGTTTTAATAGTAGCGCATGTCAGTTGCTCCAAGATATGAAGTGTGTTTCTTGATGCTATGATCCTGTATAAGTAGTAAGAACCTTAACACAATATTATCGAGGTGCTCACATCAATGATAGCTGCTGCACTGCTGTCCAGATGTTTGTACAGGTCATTCAGCACCTCCCTCAGCTTCTTCATGTTCTTCTTGCTTGGCTGCAGGAGCATGGCCTGGAAGTTCACCGGCAGCCCATATCTGGAGGAACACATTACATAAATACTCTCATCAATTTTTTTTCAACCACTGCCAATGCAAAGGAATCAAGCACTGTTTGATGACAGTTCAGCTTACACATGGTTTTATGGGTATTATTAAGACTGTATTTCTGATCACAGTACCTTAAAACAGATTCCACAAAGACCCTTAGTGCTTTAATGTGAATCCACGCGATGAAGGCTTCACTGAAGTTCACCTTCAGCCATCGGACAAGTGGGCCCTGCAGAGAACAGATACAGATTGGACTGATATCTTTTGTTGGATGTGGCAGTCTTACCATCTCACCCAAACAGGAGAAGAATACATTTGTAATCAATGTGATAAAATGTCCATTTCTTATCAAAACCAAATTCGGCAGACAAACACTTTTGACTGCAGTGGATTTCATGGCTGCACAGCTTTCTTACATTGGCTGTTTTCTTTTTTCTTTTTTTTTTAAAGTAATCACTCCATTTTTCATATAAATGGCACACTGAAAAAAAAAAAAACCTATGTATCCCAATAAAAACATTGCTCGCTGTGTGTTATCTGAAATATTTTTTAGAAAAACACTTCAGGACTGTAATCATTCTTCAGCTTTTAGTTATCAATTCTCAGTCACTGGGAGTGATTAGTAATTTACTACTTGGAAAACCTTTGAAACTGACCCCACTGACACTAATAACCATATGACATAAGGTCATTCTGACAAATTAAAATAACTCTGTTATGAAATAAAATGACTAAATCCTCAGCATTATCTCAGGCAGGATTTAAGTCACTTTAAGGTTATCTTAATGTACTAAAAATTAATCCAATTAAGATAAAATGATCCTTTATTAGTCTCACAGAGGGGAAATTTGCATGCATTGTTATGGTGGCAGGGGGAATAGTGCAAACAAGAAACATCAAGGAGCCAAATACAGTAAATAAGTAATCAGAAAAAAATATAGAAAGATAGATAGAAAAAATATGAAGAAATTCTTGAAAAGATCAGAAGGAGGCCTTATAGTATCGAGTGCAGAACTGTATCAGTGAGCAAGTTTTAAAAGCCACACAGTCTCTAAGAGAAAGCTACACAACAACTTCTGACATTAATAGTATCTGAATAGAAATTATTCACCAACTTGAAAACAATTTCTAAAAATTCTTCCCGGTGCCATCACTTACAAACTGCTTCTTCTTATCTGTGGAGAGCCGAGTCATCTCCTCTTTGTCCGCCTTCATCTCCTCCTCATTGTACTGAAAGTCTCTCACTGTAAACCTAGGAATAAGACATAGAGGGCACAACTCAACTTCATTCAACCATGAATATTTCTGTTTTTATAAAGACACTGATGATAACCTGAGTTGATATATTTAATAAGACCTATCTATATTTGCCTTGTAATCTGGCTTCTTTTGAAATAAGCTTATATTTGCTTGTAGACGTTTCACACCTCTTGTTAGTGAATCAGACAGTCCTGTGTAACAACAGTGTGTGACTCTTACTTGTTCTCTCTGGCTTTGTGCTTGAAGTCGTCAATGGCTTTCATAAATAGAGTGACACTGAAAAGTCCGCTGTCATTGTCCTCAAATAGCAGACTGGAAGAAAAGACAAGTACTGGTCATACTGCTGCAATGATGTCTGTGACTAACTGTAGATGAATGGGTGCATACATACTCAATATAAGAAAAAAATACTGACGAAATCAAAATCACGTGAAACAAACCACCCACTAAAAATGCCAATACTTGTTATCAGTGTTTCTGACAAAATGTGTTTCATCTAATATTTATTTGACATGATGACATCACTTACTTTGAAGATCGAGGCACCACCATCTCAGCCAGTGTTTCATATGTTTTCTGCCAGTCAGTGTATGCCGTCCTGAAAGAACACAGGGCAAGCATCTCTTTTATCTTTCTCCTGAATTATGATGCCACACATTTCCAATTCAGTCGTCTGCATTCAGACATGCTAACAGTACCTGTCACACTAGAGAAATAATACTCACTTTGGTACGACTACTAGCAGAGTGATGAGGTACTCTGAGTCAAGTACAAAGTCTTCCTTCTTGACTATGTCAGCCAGGCTCCTGGTCAGCAAGCTCCCCCTGGTGGCACATAACTTGGACGTGACATAGGGAAGGTGGCCAGTGCTGACCAAGCATTTCAGAGTCACGGTGACTTTTCAGACCATGCTGACACGGTCATGGAAATGTGGTCAGAGATTCTTGAAGTTTAGCTTGAAGGCACTTTGCTGATACTTAAAAAGGCTGATCCTATGAAAACTCTTCAGTACAAATGTAGTGTTAGACATGCACATTTGTAATGTGGATTACTTACGCATTCTTCCTTTCCAAGTTCTGCAGGTTTCCCTTCAGGTTGTTATAAGCTGATGCTCTGGTCTTCAAGTCATTGTCAATCTGGGTAACTTGCTGTAAAAGACAAAAACAAAGTGATTACAGGCATCAAACACTGATTTTTAAAGCTTTAAGACCTTTTTAAGATGATCTTTAATAAATCTTAAGACTGATTTTAGACAAATCATCATCTTCTTCTTTTTCTTCTTATTCTTATTCAAACATTGCATTTGCATTCAGTATAAAGGTAAGTAGTATGCATGAGGTGCTGTGTTGGGGAAGGTTTTATGTAGGAATATGGTTATTAGAGTGAGTTAGGTTAATACACATTTTGCCAACAGGTAAGTGCGAGTATAAAGTAGGTTCAGTGGTACGTTTAAAGATTTGTAACATCAGAAATGTGGACTTTCACACAGAAGAGCTTAACTCGTTCTGACAATAAGACATAAAAGACAGACAAATTAAATCAGATTAAAGCTTTGTGGCAATAACGACCTCACAACTGGAAATGTATGACTATTTAATGCCTTTTAAGTCCTTATATTCATCAAATTTAATTCAGGACATTTTAAGACATCTGAAGGACCTGCAGACACCCTGGGAAAATATAGATGAAACTTTGAGACTGACAAATAAAATACAGAGTAACATGGCTTTTATGGCATACCTCTATACAGAGGACCTTAGAGTAACATAGTTGCACAAGATTGGATGGAACAAGTGAAAACAAAACCCTATGTCAGAGTTCTACTACTGCCAATTAGGCTAAAAAATGAATTAAGACAATGTACAAAAAAACCCTCACATGCTTAATTGACGCTTTTATAGCTGCCTGAGAGACGTACCTTTGAGATGATTTCAGAGATGTTTTTAAGTGACTGTTTGATGGGATATTTTGCCATGTCCCACTGAAATCGTGTGATGTAGGTGACAAGATCGACTGGAAAAAAAGGACAATAAAAGTCTTGTCAGGCTATCATCTGCTTGCTGTCATAGTAAAGCAGAAGTTGGGTAAAGCTACAATTTTATTGCAGTGATTTCAGATCTGATCCATCAGATAGTTGTTAGTTAGTACTCTCTAAGGACTGTAAAGAATATTTAGAACAACATCAGTGAGCCTGTTTACACCTGGTATTAACCTGCATCTTGGGTGATCCAATCACAAGTAGACAGCTCTAAGTCTGTGTGTTTACATCTGGCATTAGTCCACGAGTCTCGAGTGACCACATGTGATCAGATCTCACTTCCTCACTCTGTATGCAAATAACGCACATCATTTTAGTTTACAAAGACCAAATGCATTGTTGTTGTTGTTGCTATATACACACTGGCACTGCGTAATTATTAGTTTGTCTGTAGGTTACAGTGTGCGGGAGATTGTGCAGTTTTTCTACTGCAGGAGTGTGACCTCTGCACCCAGGACAGCTGGTGAGGGTCCGCCTGCGCATACACAGTGACAGGGCTAACTGTTAGCATTACCCGGGTAACATACTGTTATTTACGGGTTTAACGACAGAGTCGAACCATGTCGGGGTGCATTTGTTGGCAGCATTTAACAGCTGCTGCTGCTGCGTTAGCCGTGCTAACCTGGCAGATAGTAAACTGACAATTCGACACAGGGAGAGCGGCTCTGGAGATGGCAGAAGGTTTGCTTATCCGGGGGGGGGGGGGGGGGGGGGGGGGGGGGGGGGGGGGGGGGGGGGGGGGGGGGGGGGGGGGGGGGGGGGGGGGGGGGGGGGGGGGGGGGGGCAAGGACGTCACCTGAGAAGGCGGTCCTTCAATGTGGGCCAGGACAAAGGAGGATACACTGTTGAAAGAATGTAGTCATATATAGCCCAGACCACCTCTGAACGTGGTCTGAGCGATAGGATCTCAAGATACACTGAGGGCTCATTAGGTGCATTCACACCTGTTGTCCATGTGTGATCTGATCACCAAAGACTAATGTTAATACCAGGTGTAAACAGGACCAATGTGTCTTGAGTCGTAATTATCATTACCGTACGGTTACACATGCTTCAAATTTTCCCACAGCTTTCTTGGTAATTAAAATATTCTGGACATAATGTATTGTAACCATCACTGTACCTCCGTTGGCCAGCAGGTTTTCCTGTACTTTGTCTCGACTGTCTTCCAGCACATCAGCCATGTACTGAGCAACCTTCTTCACCACACTGTGAACAGCCAGGAGACATCAAAAACGCGCCACAGCAACACAAACTGCATGCACAAAGCCAGCGAAAACCGCACACTCACCCTGCTCACACAACCACCACCACCTCATGCCCCAAATTTAACACAAACATACACACACACACACATCAAAACCTTTCACATATGCCTGTTAAGGTAATTTCCTGACAAGGCAATTTATAATATGGCAGACTGGAAGGGTTCAGGGTTTTTAACCACTCTGTTCAGCATCACATCAAAGCAGAACTGTGTCTACAGTAGTGAAGCCATGGAAAGATTCAGAGCCAAGTCACATCTCAGGTCTATAATCTTCATAAGAAAGTTAACTTAGGTTTAATGTTGTCTATCTATAAGACATTTTTATTGTTTAAATAATGACAAAGTAACCCAAATCCAAATAATTGAAAGTTCAATAAAAACAATAAGGGCATTAATAGCTGCAACTCTGCTGGGCAGAAATTTCCAAAAAGAAATTGGTAAAAGACAGAGTGTACTAGCCAGACAAGTGAAACCATGTTGCAAAGCTGGTCTTTCTCACAGTGTTGGAAATATCTACAGAGGAAGCAAAGCAAAGCTCAGGCAGTAAAGGCTGTGTGTGAGTTTTGGATGTCAATATTTCCAAAAGACTATAAATGGCACTCAAACATAGTTGCGGCACAGTCATTGGGTATAAATATGACCAAAGAAAGAGCTGCTGGTGTGTCACCCAACTGTAAATTGCCAAGTTTAGACTAAGAGGCCCGCTAGCCTCAGGTCCCTGTGAAATTCCTCATTGTTACAAGGTAAGGGAAGAGATTAAGGAATGGTAAACCGGCTACATCAGAGAGTCAGGGGCGCTGCAAGGTTAGGAGATTTTTTTTTTACATGCCCCTCATAACAGACTATATTCAACATGATTATGAGAGCCCTATAAAATAACAATTTAATCACTAGAACAATAATTCCTCAGAGACTGAGATTATCTATGCTTATTCTAAGACAGAATACAGCAGGCAGCATACCTTTCAACAAAGGAGTCTAACTTGGCCAGTTCATCCGACAGCCCAACCAAGACATCGAGTGTCCCCACCTGTTTGTGAACACAAAAAGTAAAACATCAGCACATTATGACTTTTGTGTCATCGGTCGTGAGATTTGTGTCGTTTTAAGAGGGGTCAGCAGGGTTGTGTTTTAATAGTGACATCTAGGGTTCAATCCGCCTACAGTGACATCCAGGGGGCCCTATGTGCTTATGATGGCGCCTCTTTGTCCAGAGCCACTGATGCATTGCTAACAGTTCCAGGAGAACATTGCAGGCCCATGTGGCTGCGAGGTCAGCGGGGTTACTTCACCTTCAGCACAGAGAGAGGACCCGAACCAGAGGAGCTGGGCTGCTCTGTGGACGAAAACGCTACCAAACTAACGCTTCAACATGCAGGCAACAGATCTGTGTAAAGACTGCTTCCCATACACACAATCAGCTTATTCTTGACAGTGGATATTTAAGGTGAGTGATTTTAACATTAGCTTACTTTTACATGTAAAACCACAATTTCTTTTTTGTTTTTAAATAGATTAAAAATAACAACAAATTATGCATGTCCACATTCAACTACTTGAGTCTATTAATCAATCACAGCAAAGTAATGGCTCTGTGCTTCAGCATGGGAGAAAAAGTATAAAATTGTGAAGAGCAGAGAAGCCCAAAAATCTATGCTAACCTTGAGGTCTGGGATGTTGAACTTGTGGTTGGTGGAAAGGTTGTTGGTACGTGTAGTGGCTGCCATCATTTTGTCCCATGTTTGCTGGCAGGTCTTCTCTCCCGGAGCAGAGATCAACCAAAACTCTGTCATGGTTACAGCACTGGTGCAGCTAGAAATAACTGAGAGGAAACTGGATTTAGACTTACTGGTGGTGTTGAAATACAGGTCATTAGTGAATAAAACATTAACAAAGACTGCGTTTGTCTATTTATCAGCAGCACTGGTTTGGCTACAGTACAGGTGAAGTACTATGTTTAAATACCTCCTGTCTTTAGTTAGCTGTGTGTGCTGTACTCTGTGTCCTGACTCTGTTTACTACTAAGCTAATGAAATCATGCTACACTAGCAACAACAGCTCATTTGGTGTTTTAAGTCCATTACAACCTGGCGTTAGTTTTGACAACACCACATATTTTCATTCCCTCACTGCTACATAACGTTACACAGCCATAAATAAGAACTAAACGCTGCTATATACAAACCGAATCTGACAAGAAAGATGGTTAAGGTCAGGCAACAACCAGCAGGGATTAGCTACCGTTAGCCACTTAGCTTTGCTCACAACAACAACGCAGGTGGCTGTTGCTATTGTTTAACAATTTCACTCACCTGTGAATAACAAGTGTGGCCGTTAAAGTGAAAAATGTAGTTGTTAATAGTGTTTCTATGGCTTGATGATTTTCATAGTTGCCATTCAGTACAGTTGGTGAGGTCTCCTGACAGCAGCATCAGAGTCAGCTGATCTGCCAGAGGAACCGGAAGGCCTCTGTACACTGAGGGATCTCAGCAGCGACCGCAGCTGGTGGACAGTGGGTACTGCAGGGCAAATCACTGAGATGACAACAGTCTGATTCTGACTTCTGTGACTGAGTTTGATGCTCAGGTTCAGGGACACCTCAGTAGGGCAGATGCTTGCGAATATATGCGATAGAGACCAGGTCCTTTAGATAAAGGAGTGTCTTAATAACTAGGACACACTCTACAACTGTGTCAAGACTGTGTGAATGTAATGCAACAGTATATAGATCAGTAAGGGACTGTTCTTCACTTCTTCTCTTTTTGTTTGACCTTCCCTGAAGCTACAGATGTTTTTACTTGACTCCATCATACTCCATCATAAATTAGTTAGTTTAAAAAAACTCACCCTTTGATGTTTGAAAGTTGAAGTTAAAAGTTGGAGATAAAATCCTGGAGTTGAAAAAAACCTTGGTGATTTGGACGGTTTACATTTGGCAAAATTTTAAATGAGACATGTAGAATAAATTGATTTTGATGAAACGCCACTATTTAAGCTTAGATTTGGTTAAGTTTTTTTCTGATGGAAGCATTTCTTTCAACATAATGTGTTCAAGGAACATCAAGAATTTGAAAAGCCAATGCTAATTTCTGTTTTTACAGTTTCTGGCTATGATAAATGGTGAAATTTTGGTGATTTTTAAAGGCAATATGCCTTCCAACCCGGCGGGATTGGCTTGTTTTCTGTAAAAATCAGCAATAAAAAATAAATACAAAATGCAGCCATTTAAATTTGTATGCTTCTCCTGTAAGCCATAAAAAAGTCCTGCCCCAGTGTTTAAAACAATATTTGATATGCTGCCCCAATTTTGCACCACCCCCCTTCCCCCCTGATAAATAACCACCAGTTGTCAATTTTACAAAAACATATCAATGAGGCAACGTTTTTTTATTCCTGATATGGAATTTAACCAAATTTCCTGGATTACAAGATGTGATAAGACCCCAGACTCGAGACTCAGTCAACATTCCAAGTGTATTATTACATTATTGGAGAAGCAGACAGGCAATTCTGGATGCCAAGTCAGCAGCATTTGAGGCTTAAGAGTTACTAAATTTGGAACAGTCAGGTCAGGTTTCCTGACTTTGGGTGTCTCCTGCACAGAATCTGAGGAAAACGCCCCCCAAAGGGACATGTTTATAGTTCAGTGGCTCTGGGGTTCATTGTTTGGGACACAATGGTTGGTCTGCCTGGAGCCAACCCTCGACATCAAACAGCAGGGTGAGTTTGCCCATGGCTGGCTAGAGGCCAGTCTGTCGGGATGTTATCAGGACACACACACACACAACACACGCCATAATCGGTCAGACTGCTGAGAGTCTGCTGTGTGATCTCTTCCCGAATAAGACAGAAAAGTGTTGTTTTAGCAATAAATAGCATTGAATGAAAAAAAAAAAACTATTAACAAGCTTAATGTCATCCCCTCTCACGCAAAGCATTCAACACTGTGTCCTTGCATGGACTCCCATAGTTCTCTGTAAACATCCATCAAAGCTTCTCACACACACCCTCTGATTTGTGTCTGCGTTGTGTTTATGTTTACTGAATAAGGCATGTAAGTGTTAAAGTATTATAAAGGAATTGAAGCATTATAATATCTTAAAAAAATCTTAAAAATGTTGCAACAGACTTACTACTATCACCTGTCCTCTTATTCCGTTTCTTTAGAAAATGCTCCCTGTTTTTCTTCTATGAATGCAACACAACACAAGTTAGTTAGTTCACTCACATTCCAGGTAAGATGGTCTCTGTGCACATCACGTGATTACTTTAAAAGGGATAGTTCAGATTTTTGTATTTTTGGGGTTGTATGATCAGTGTATTACCTATAGTAGATGTCAGTTGGCACGCCTCCAATTTGGAGAAGCAGGCTGGAGTCCAACACAGAAGCTAAGGAATGCACTGTTGTGGATGGGGGACAGCCACAATAATACAATTAATACACACAATTAATATCAGTTATGAGTATATGCTATATTGAGAGTATTTTCGCTACTTTACCTTTCCATCAGACAGCCTGTTCTGACAGGGAAGGCTTCAGTTCCCCATCTATGCTCTTGTCAAAGTGACCAGGCTCTCACAAAAACAGGTATTTTAGCTTAAACACAGGAGCTGATGGTCCACCTCTGCTTCAATCAGTTAGTTAACTTGTGTTATTGTGTGACTTTGGTGACAAACCATTTTAAACACTAAAGTCACACAACAACACAAATTAAGTAACTGTTCGTCAGAGATGTTAAATTGTTGTTTTTCTTAATGGAATCTGGCTTTGAAGAGAGCAATATTTAGCGTTTAGCTTTTTTTTTTTTTTTTTTTAACCTGGGCCTCTTTTAGGTGACTAAGATACGTTTTGTTGCTGACCCTCCACAGCAGTGCATTGCTCAGCTTCTATGTCAGACTCCAGCCTGCCTCTCCAATCTGGGGGCATGCTGACTAACATCTATTGCATGAAATATACCATCTATGAGGGGTGTTGGTGTCTTAGTGGATAGAACAGGCGCCTCATGTACAAGGCTGTTGCTGCAGTGGCCCGGGTTCGACTCCAGCCTGCGGCCCTTTGCTGCATGTCACTCCCTCCATCTCTCCCCCTTTCACGCTGAACTGTTTTTATCAATTAAAGGCAAAAAAATCCCCCAAAAAATACCTTAAAAAAAAAAACACTTCAAAACATCTGAACTACCCCTTTACCCTGCCTGTACTTAGTTCACTTGGTCTAAAGGCATACATGTTGACACAAATACCCTACATAATAGCTGTATTTGTAAATGTACGTGTGTGTGTATACATAGATTGCAGTGCAGGACATAAATGCAGTAGCAACATGGGCTATATCCACACACCATTACTGGAATTCTCCAACATGACTGACTTGTGAAATATCTTACAAAGCATAATAACATAAAGTTCCAGTATTTATTGATGTGGTCTTCCTGATGAGCTTCTCAGAAACAATGTACTTTTACAGTAAACCACATATAATGATTGCAATTACTGACACAGAGTTATGCTATGAATTTATTGTAATGACTTATTCGGTAATCTATCTTGACAGAGAGGAAACAAGGGTGAAATGTGCATCATATTTTAGATTGTGTTATTGTTTGACCATCATGGTATATCTTGCTGTATCTCTCCACCGCTGTGACACCATTGTTAAGAATGACATGTCCTGGGACAGCCCAGAGATAGGTACTTCCTTTTTTAGTTGGCATATTGTAGAACCAAAAACATGGAGCCATTTCACAGTACATATTTGGGTGTGTTAAAGATTGCAATTATGTTGTTGTTGTTTTTTTTTTTTACACATCTGTGTAGTTGTTAGAAAACAAGCATTCACTATAACATTCTTTTTTATATTCCTGCAGCCAGTTGCTTTATATTTCCCCTACTTGACATTCAGATCAGTGTGAGGAAAAGTTTGTTTGGAGTTCCTTTTACTTAGCAACATTCTCTGGAAAAAAGAGCTGCTGAGTGACTTCACAACACTTACAACACTAGAGTCTGTTGCATAACACCAGTTCATGGTGGGTTTAACCAGTCACTCATGTGAATGTGATGAGTAAATAACTTATTATTATTCCAGTATGCAGAGATGCTGTAAATGTCTAGATGTCTTATCTGATTGACTGTGTTTATATCTATTAAATGTTGTTTATAACATTAATTTTATAGTTAAAAACAAAAAGGATAATCAATTTTGTTGAAGGTGCTTTATTATTTTATCTTTTTATTGTTGGAATATGTTGTTTGTTCCTCTCTAACTGGAGCCTTTTGGTCACTCAGGGTTCATCTATGCGGGGTCTTTCTAAATCAGTGCGTTGATGTAATCTGTTTGTAATGTTTGCAAATAAGAATTCCTGCTGCACAATGCAGCCACTGGAGTATTTGCGCGCACAGTGGGTGGTACACATGTCTCGCTGTCGCATACCCAGTGGCTGCGATGGCTATTATGATCCAAACAATGGAAATCAAACATTGTGCTTTACTGGAAGCCACTTTAGATGCTATGTGTGATTAAGCCTTATATATACATAGTCTCATTTAGCGTTGGAGAAAACAGGCACAAAACACGGAACAGCTTTTGTGTTGCAGTCCGAGGAAAAGACATTGCCCCTGCAGCCTTTACAATGGACTCCAAGCAAAAGTTTTATTAGTGAAACAAATGCTGCTATTGTTTATTTTTCCCTGAGAGGTGCTCAAAACTCATCTAACACTCTGAAGAATTTCACAGTTTTGGGAATTCATCATGCACTGTTATATGACGTGGGTCAGTCAGAATGGTAAAGATTTAGGCTTGCTTACAGCTAAAGACATCTGGATGGATGGAAACAAAAAGTTCACTGAATCCTAGATAATCCAACGCCATACAGAACATTTTCGTGTATTTTTATAGTTAATAAAAGGCTGTACTCTTTGTTCCTGTCACTCTGTAACAATCTTGAAACACTAAACTAAGGGAACAATGAGTAGCCAAAAGCCTGCACAGACACTGCTGAGAATGGACTTTGACTCCAGGACACAGACATGAGTGGATCATTAGACCTAAGAAGAACTCAAAGGCAAACCACATGCACATTTTACACAATATATATTTGACAATAATTAAAACAGTAAATCTGCAAATAAATTCTATTGATATGATTTGCAAATATGCATTAAAACATTTAAAAACCCATGACATCATGTAATTAGAGACAAGGACACTTGAACTGGGGACATTTTACCAAGGTTTGTGATTCTTCAGACCAGCATAATGTCAGTATTGATATGGAGTCAAAGCAGCCCCAGAGAAAACACTTCCCTTCTGTTTAGCTAACAGTAGCTGAGCTTTCCTTGGCACCCTCCTCCTCCAGTGTTGAGGAGGGAGACATGCAAATTTATCTCCTTGGAAAAAACACTGCCCCAGACCCTGCATTTTCAGAGGCAGGCTCAACTTCTCAAAGTCACAACAATAAAAGCAAAG